ATGCACTGTATGCTGGGTAAGCGAACTCGTGATCGACGACGTGAAGTACCCGCGATCAGCTCCAGTGTTCCCGTGCAGGCAGCCAATGCGACACCGATTTCTGGTCAGGGAGTGAGTTCGACTACCACATCCGCTGTAGGTGGACTACCTAGTGGCGGTGGTGGACCGAACACGATAACCGCCACCCCAAGCACCGAGAACACAGTTGTAAAAAGCAGTTCTCAAAGTGCCAATTTAACTCAGGGACCACAAACTGTCAGTTCAACTGTGCTGAGTGGCGCCCAAGGTTAGTCTCATTTTCGTGTCAGATAAGGCAAAAGATAATATTTAATCAGTCAAAGAAACGGTTAAAGCTTGATCTGGTCTGGTTAATGATTTCCACTTGATTGAGATCCCGTTAGACGCAAAGGCCGTTTATGTTGTTAGAGTGGAACACAATTACAGAAGAGTTTTTTTCCGAGTTATATTTTTCGCCACATCGTTCGAAACAGTTCACCTCCATATCAAATTTTCACATCTTACGTTAGCTCAACCCCTAACCAAAAACAAATCACTCGACTCACTTGTCCAACACTTTGTTCAAATGACTCATTTCAACTCGTATGCTTCCTGGTTTAACATAATCATATAAATGTATGTTTACAGCTGAATGAGAGCACGCAAAAGTGATGGTCAATATCAATTCTCCCACATATGTCTTCTGTTGTTGATTTTTCATTTGTATTCAAATCCTGGACGGGACGGTGAATATACACTATTGATAAGCTCTGATAAAAGCAAAGCTCAAGTCTAGTGATTACGAATGTATGGTTTAATTAAATTGCGGAGGAATATGGATGGAGGTGAAACGTAAAGGATGGTCAGTTCTAATCGTTGATCGATCGGTCTAATTAATACTGTTTTCCGGTTGTCACGTGTGAGACAACCCACTGTCTTTGCGTTGATTGGTCCGGTTTTGCATGGTGGTGTAGACTTGATCGACGTCAATGTGTCGGTTGACCGAGATTTCCGATGAATGACAAGCTTTCAGAAATTCACTTGCGTGCTTGGTGCTTGTCTGATCGACGACTTTGATGTTTTCAAAGTCGAAGTTGTGTCCTTCTCGGTCGTCGTGAATTGAGATGAGTGAGAGCGCATCGTGTCTTCTGACGGCTAGTTTATGTTCGTGCACGCGAGTTGCTCGTTTTCTCTCTGTTTGACTGATGTAGTACTTTTTGCAGTCTTTGCAGTTGATGAGTTGGATCACATTTTCTCTATTTTCGTCTTTTTATTACTTCTTGATTTTCGATAAGACTCTCCGTAGTGTTTTCGTTGGTTTGTGGGCGACTTAAATGTTATGTGGCTTCAGTATTCTCGTGGACCTTTCAAACGCTTTCTTCACATACGGTAGGGGTATTTTTTTTATTCAGTTGTCCGTTATTCGTGTGTTTGGTTTCGTTTGAGTTATTGTCCGTTTGACGAAGTTGCCAATGTAGCAATTGCGGACGATTTCTTGATAGAGGTATTTCTCCTCATACAGCCTGAAGTTATCAGTGCTGCATTGTATTCTTGCCATCTAGAAAACTATGTGCATGCAACTGTTCCCGTGACAGTTTTGGCGATCCTTGGTGTTTCACCGGGATTTGATGCCGAACGTCGCTACACTGGCAGTGGAACTATTTAGAAAGGCTTGCAACTTACCTGATCTTGTCTTAGCAGCACAGCGTCATCTGCGTCCTCCAGATCAGAAAGCCTGTCACCTGGGAGTAAATCCCCTATCCTCACATGAGGCTAGGGCTGTTTCCATAATCAAATCCATAAAATCTTAAATAAAAAAGGAGAGAGGGCAACCCTGTCGAACACCACTTTCCGTAGTGAACTCGGATGAAGGTGTCTTAGGCTCGGCTTCGACTATTCGTATAAAGGGATTGTTAGATTGAAATTAACTTCTGGGTGCAACTTTCAGAGAGAGACAGCGCCAGGGTTTAGGACGGTCGACTGAGTCGAAAGCCGCTTTCAGATCTCGGAAGCGAGAGCCCTTAGGAGCCGTAGAAACCAATAGGCGTGCTTCCCAACCAGAGTAGGTGAACTTCAAGGGGAAATTTATGGACTTGATTAACCACTCCAGTTCTGTCGTCACAACCTAACTCTTTGGATCATAAAAAATGGTACATATTCTACACCGAGTAATGATTAACCAGTGGATCAGAGTACCAAAGATAGAATTCGAGTGACTAATTGCTTTTTGTGGCCGCAGTATTCAGTTTGTGTTTTTAGTATAAATCTCCTAATGCCATCTCTACTTTATCTACTCGTATGACTTTTAAATACACTAATATAACCTTTTGTTCGAATATGACTCGCCCCGTTTTGCTTTCTGCTTTAAACACGTAAAGGAACGGACAAATCGTTGAAATTAAGCACACAAGACACTCCAGTTGAGGCATACACGCTGATAAAAAAATTCCTCATACTGTGGAAACGAGTGGAATTGTTGAAGTACGCTTGGGGTAAGCGTCGTCTCGGGGTCGAACGGATCGATACACCAAGTTTATTTAAGACATTTTGGTAAGCGATTCACATAGAGAGAAACTACTTCGATACCATTTTTCTTCGATGTTTGACAGTTGTGTGAACAAGTAACGAAAATCTTAAGTTAGCATGCAGTTCGGTATTTGGATGTTGCTATTCGAGAACAGCCCCTTATTAATTATTGTTCGAGTGTCAACTGAAGATATCACATCATTTCAAGACGTCCGAATATCAATTTAGGATGTCATATTTCTATGTGGACAGTACGGTAGTGCGATTCTCCCATCGTTTCACATTGTATTGTACTTTTCCTGACTCTCTTGTTGTCACGTTCAGTCCAACCATGGGGTGAAGACACGCCTGCTTTACAATCGAAGTCCAATGATGCTGCTAAAGGCTTGCGGCTGTGGACAAGGTGTGGTTTCNTGTGGTTTCTTCCTCGGGTTAGCTGGGCAAGTCCCAGGTCTCTTGTTGCGGCTACACTATCCGATAACTCGATAAATGAGCCCGATTGATCGTGTGATTTTCTGGCCGGCATAGGAGGAGGATAAGTTTAGAAAACGAGCTACTTAAGTGTTGGTAGAGGACCACCACAGGAGAATCAGTTGTGAACAATGCATCATTTGGGAAATTCGGAATGGAAAAAGTTCAAGCGATGATGTCCCTGGACCGAAGTTTGACACGACTAAAATACATGCACTATTGTTTTAGATGGGTAAGTAAACGGATAAGCGTTATAAAACTTTGAACTCGTCTCAAGTACGGACTACAATATCCGCTAATATAGACCAACGCAAAACTCTTCTTCGATTTTTACCAACGGGCTGTTTTCCCTTTGAACGTTCAGGCCAACCACATCGGAGATAGAATTTCGAAAGAAAGAAAGAATAAATGTTATGGCAAAATGCATATTTATTTTAAAATGTTGTTCAATATGTTCTCCATCCTGCTGCTTGCATAGCAGAATACGGCTAAAATTCTCTACCGAAAACAGCTTTACCCACATTTTTGGAAAAGGGAAATCATTGCTCAATGCATGCAAAGTTCATTTTCGCCGATTTTGTTTTGAGGCAATATTCATCTCTTCAAAAGAAATACAATCAAAAATTCCCTGCTGAGTTAAGACCAGTTCATTATGCAATGTCAAGCAAGTGACTTATGCGCCCTTAAAACAGTATATTTCCCGACATTTACTGCCCCTATGAAGCAATATACACCCGATGAGCGTAAAATCATAAACTTTCATTCCATCTTCTTTAGCTCCATTTATAAACGTGAAAAGCTATATCCTCTTCTACGGAGTCTTGCAATACAATACCGTCAGCACGATATGTTTTCAATTGGTCCATTGGATGAGACAGATATATTTGTCATGCCCAAAGGAATTCCGGAAATCGTCGTTCGACAACGTCAGGTTGGTTGATCTTCGCGTAAAATTCACTGTATGGCATTTCACATCCTCGGCAGTCTTAGTTGCATACCGAAATCATTTGCTAAAAAGGTGATGATAGGTGGCTAACGAAGCCTGACGGTCGACAGTCCACAACCCTGTCAGGACCTTTGCTCCCCAACCATCCCAACGTCGAGAGGAACTAAAATCCGATGTCAAACCCGCTTAAACTAATCAATGCCAAATCTGGGTGCCGCGTCTAAATTTGGTATATACTGTTCACACTGTAAACGCAGTCATGAACAACGCTGTCGAAGTTGGTTCATGTTAATCCACCCCTTCTACAAATAATAAGACTGATTGGTGACTAAATTTCGAGAGTCGCGACTGGGATGAGTTAGTACTTACGCACACACTGAAGAATTGCGACCACAGTTCGCTTGACTCCTTGTCCGTCACGGAATCGCGTGTATACCGCTTTCGATTAACTGTTTGGTTGGGTGATTTTCAGGGGTCCATTGTCAGACATGCTGTAGAGTTGTATAAGCACCTTTGTTTATATAAACCATATTGCTCTAGTCTGGTCAGACAACCGAACAAGTGATGCTAAAGTTTTTAGCGCATCGAAGCAAACTTGATTTATTTTGTGCTAATGAAACTCGAGGTAATAAGATTGACGGTACATCGAGTTTTAACCCACATCACATGAAAGAATTTGAGTTAAGCACTAAAACCTAAACAATCTGAGAACAGGCTATCAAGAATCACTGAGAATTATTATAAACCATCACTCTTTGGTTATTGCTTTTTACATTTATCCGACCTTCAATCAAGATACACTTTCAATCAAATATTTGGTGATCCGGACTTCCGTGACCGCATTCTAAGCACAACTATGTACGGTTTCATATCACCCAATCACCGTTCAGGAAGCTCGGACAATGGTACACCGGGCGAACATGATACCCGAGTTAGGACATATGATGCGTCGGCGCAAACGGCTACATGATTGGACGACGGTCCTTCAACCAATCATATGCTCTATTACATTCTATAAAATATGCCCTAATTCTATCAATTAACATAAGCATTCGCTGTTATCAATTTCTCGTGTATTTCGTTGGTGTCCGCAGTTCGGGTTGGAGCCAATCCAGTTCTGAGCATTACAGTACGAGTTCTGGTATTCCTACATACAGTACTATTCCGATTATCAAAAATAATATTGCGCAGTGGGTTTTGCCCCAAGTGCAGGCGCATGATAATGTGAAATTCTCGAAATCCAAAAATCTAAAAGCTCTCGGATGAATTATGCTTAATATATGTCATACCATTTTCGAATGATGCATATAGTTAAGTTGGATTTTACACGAGCAATATGAGACGTTTTCAAATGAATTATGACTTCTCCACCTTATTTGTCTTATGATTTGTCTTATGATAGCTCCTAAAATTGATCGAAGCGTTTGAGTTTTACATGATAGCCGATTTGCGAAAATTGGTCGTGAAGCAGACGGATCTGGTCATCAAAGAGAGGAATCGCGAAGAAGGAAATTTACCGCTTGATCTTTGGAAGCGACCGGTGAGTCTAATCCTACAAATACCATACATCCATAACCATAATAAATCTCTAGTGTTTGGAATATTCCGTTCCATCTGTCCATTCATAAGGATGATCAGAAGAGAGAAGTTGCGAGATGAATTTGTCTTTCATCTTTCCCTATGTAGAATGCACGGGATGAAATATGACTAGCACTCTATGGAAAAATCGGCAGATGGTACGATTGAATTGAAACCAGGCGAACTCCATCGACTGTGGAATACATTCAGTCCATCGAAAAGACAGTAAACAAAACCGAGTAGACCTGATTAACAATCTCCCCCCGGGAAATACTTTTATCATGCTATCCAGCTGAACAACTTTTACATGAAAATTTGTCTCCTGAAAGATATATTAAGAATACTAAAATTTGCCGATGTTAACTTCATATTTAATAACCTAAATTTATTTATATGCTCACTCATCTTTGTGCACCTTTGAGAATTCCAAACTATGGCTGGCTATTTTTGTGGAATTAATAGCTTATTTTGTTCTGGAATTTCCTATGGTGTTCGTACAAACTGCTTCCCTAAACGAACACCTTGGCTGTCCGTCCAGGATCATGAAAATGGATCGAACTGTTGCGAAAAAGATATAAATATGGACTTGAAAAACCATCGGAAATTGTTTGGGTGTCTCAAACTTATGACTGAACCGAAGAAAAGAGAAGGCTACTGTAGCCCGATAAGAAGGATAATGAAGGCAGTTTTGGACTCCAATGGGGCAGGAGGTGGGACCATTTGAACGATGTCAAGTACCAAAATTGGTTTCGGTTTTCACCCTCCAACATCGATATGGATTAAGAAACTTGTTTGAAACACGTCAGTGAACGTTATCACGTCGATTTATCTGCATATTTTTCATTTACTACGTTTTTGAATTCTCTTTCTAGCCTCCCCAGAACGAATTCATAAATAAGTATATTCAGGCTACTCATGAGTAGTCACCATAGTATTGTGGTTTTTGGCGAAGGGGGTGACTGCCAATCAGGTCTGCCCAGAACCGGCACATGAAAATGCTTGGTAATGGTTGTAAAAACTGAATCTGAAAATTAAACTGACTCGGTCGATGTAATATTTATTATATGATCATCTCTTGAGGCCGTTGGTTTACTGAGAGAAAAGTTTATTGCCGTAACACATAAACCACAGCTTTGGGGACAAGTAGCAGTAGACATAGCGTGCTTGCCCTGACACCAAATTCATGCATTGATGGCCCCTATGTTCAATGGTCGATCACCTTTGTATCGGTCGCTGGTTGTCCTTACGGACCTTATCGATCGATAACCGTAGATCAAATGCATGCATCTCGTGGATGACATTCATCTAAATATTCATAAATATTGCTGTAAAGGAAAAATAAAACACCCTCACCTCCTTTCCAGGTAAAAATTTAATGAATTAAATATCAGGGATTGATAAACATTCTTCTTCTCTCCCAGCCTCAAGATATTTATAAACAGATTGTTTGGCTCTTTATCTTGTCACACAGGCCATGAAAGAAGCCATGTCATTCAAACGTCCGGCACTAGCAGACGAATTTATTGTGGATTTGATGTCCAACATGCAATTAGACGAGCGAACCAATCAGTACTCGATAACAAAAGACAAACTGAACGAAGTGCTTCAAACCCTGGCGATCTCGGTAATGCGCGTTCAACGTGAATCATACGAGAAGTAAATTGGTTCAATAATTGATCTTTGATCCTGATTTTACTTATTTTTTGTTTTTATTCATTTGCACCGTGTCCGGTCGTGCACGTGGTTTCGAAATTTGGAAGGTCCTAGAGCTTGCAAAGTAGTTTTCGATTCTTATTTTATCAATTTTGCTATTTTTGATCTCCACTTGTCATCTTTCCCATTTGACCACTGGGGACAACCCTCAGTTTATTCACTCAACCGTACACTCAGGAAGCACAAGACTCGAGTTTCACTCTTTTTTTTAGTTATTTATTTGGGAGTAGGCATTGATCACTTCAGAAATTAACGATGCATTATAAATAACATATGGAAAGAGTGGAGTTAGCCATTCAAGTTTAGACAATGGAGACTCTGTGGTGAGTCAACCCACCGAGGCAACGCCAGCCAAACGAATACGCCTTCCAGGTTTTGAAATTTCGACCACGGCCAACATTATCGAGCAATCAGTTTCAAAAAAACCTTGAAACTGGAAAAACAAGGATAGTTGGTTGATGCCCATTTGACAAATACTTTTTCTATTTACATTTCATTTAATCCGGTAGATTTATCTCAGTAAGTGAACCCCAAATTCTGTGGCCTTGTTCCTGCATCTCTTTGAGGAGTGATGCTAGCCCAGAATTGTTAGTACGACCCCGTTTTTCGTTCGCTACCGTGTTTCGTGCGTATTCTAACTATTAAAATTTAGCGTCACGCAATGGAGCTGTCAGCTATCGAGCAATTGAACCTGCCTGCTTGTCAGTGATCGTGGAATGGGTGAAGTGATTTGAGTTGTGGTACAGCATTTGCAAGAGTAGCGCGCAGAGCCAATTGGCACTATTTCTCACTTCGGGTGGCGGTGACCTGTATTCATTACTGAAGAATTTGGCATCTCCTGAGGCTCTGGCAAAAACTCCATACAAAACTTTGAAGCGTTTGCTGCTTGAACACTTGTGCATACCGAGATCCTGGCATACAAAAGCGCCAAATTCAAATCATTGGTACGTGCCGGTAACACATCATCTTGTCGCGATTCCATCCTCTAGTATAACAAGCAGGTGTTAAAACGTAATAGACATAAAAACTCTATCGTTGGTACATCGTTACCGGATACGGAGAACCGTAACAAACAGCTCAATGCGCGTGCTCCTTCTAAGGAGAACGCTTCGCTGCTGCTATGAAAATCAAGCACGAGAGCATCTTAAACCGAAGAAGCTCCTTTTAAGGGAGAGTTTTGTGATTATCCTAGCCTACAAGATATCGCCAGCCACAGTGTGATGCGCACGGTTTCAGTGCTTTGGACAACGGACCAGTATGATTGATCAATGGCCAAGCAGTTCAAACAAAGACCGTGTAAAATGTGCTGTAACGCCTTAGCAGATGGTATTTCTTCGGTAAATTAGTCTCAGTATGTATGTATACACATGATATAGGGAGTGCACGGCTACGGGAAACAGAACGAATTTCAATCAGGTAGCAGTGTTTTTGGCAAATGACATGAATCGTGGTTCCTAAAACCAAACGGCAATGGTAAAACAGAAAAAGTAACATTCAGTCCTTTCAGCAACAAATAAAAGGGTAGCGGTAGCAGTAGGTGACAGCAAAGATAGAAACAAGGTCTACTCAGCTGATAGCTAGTCGTAACATAAGCCCAGCAAAGAAATTCCAATTGAGAGATATTGCGATGCAGCATTGAAAAGGTTTACAATTCACTTTAGTTCTCGAATAAAAAAAGACAGACAAGGAAAATGCAATCCACTTAGATGAAGTGCAGTAGATGCAAGGAAATTGAACTGCGATGCCGAAGCGTGCTGTAATTCAAAAGCATACGTACGGAGGGGCAGCGGTCGCGCGTGATGCTGGGTATCATTTGTGCCAGTTGTGTGGGGTCAGCGGTGCGATCTCCATGGGTTGCACCTTTCGGCTCGCAGAACCGGCATCCAGGAAAATTTTACTTTGATGGGAAAATGCAATTCTACGAATACATATATCGTAACCACTGCAATAAGCGTTCCGTATCTATCAGTTTCAGGCCACTTTTTGAGGTAAACAAAACAAAAGTTTAACTGATAGGGATATAATCACTCAATGATACTTCTTAGTAGTCTGATGCGAACGGGGGAAGGAACATTGGATTGCGAATAGTTATTACCATAACTCGAAGAACATGGACGGCGGTTGTTTGATGATTGTTTGACCAGTATTATTTGTGCTATACACATTGGTATTTGGGTAGAAGACACATGAACACAACGGTCCGACAACTGTATTTGCCAATGTGATTCATGATCCGTTCTTTCGTTCCTAATTCGAATACGGCATAGGCCAAAAGCGATATACAATATAAGAGTTTTCCATTCTAGGTTCACGGTCGGAGCTGCGGATCGGAGCAAAGCTGTAGGATGGTCAGCCAGGTGGTCACCGTCACATACCTCCGGATGTCGTGTGTTCGAAACCTGGCCTAATCACCTAACCTTCTCTTTTATGTGTAGCACATGGCAATCACTTGATCAACCGCGTTCCCCTCCTGAGACTTGGTCACACAATAAATGGATTTCATGTAAACAGAATTGAAAAATTAAAATAACTCATGCCATAACACTACTTTCAAATAACTGAGTTATAATGCAAAATACCAGCAAAATGTTATCCTATCAATATCTCTAAATGGTATGTCTTGCCAAGACGTATGATATGTACGAGCGCCTCTTGAATAATCCGAAACAACGGAGAGAGAGAATGCGGCTGAGAAGGGGACAACCAGAGTATAGTATTGATCATGATACAATACGCAAATATATGTAGCAGGTTGGGCGTACGAGAAACGACGTGGTGATACACCAACCTGACACTCCGGTTGGCTCAGGTTGACCACAGCTGTTTAATCCGCCTTAGTCATTCAATTCGAAATCGATTCGGCTTTGAGCGATGCTAACGCACTTGTGGTCTTACGCGAATCGATCGTGGCCTAGGGGGTTCTGTGGGCTTCGTCCTAACAATCAAGATGAAAGATTTCGTTGAGAATACTGCTGGATCATCGCAACGCTTCCAAAATTTTTATGTTAAGCTGCTTTATCAATATTTCCATATGCATGATACTATTTTTTCTGGTTCCTTCTATCCTCATCCAAGATCGCATTGGCAAGCCTTCTCCGATCAACCAGCACATTAAACATCAAAAGCCTGATCTGCATATAACTTAAGCTCCTCATAGTCATTGATTCTTGAGAGAAAGGAAATGTTTTTCATGAAGACAATATCATTCAAATAATTATTTCCTGATTCATTCTACCCATTATATGGGTGTGACTACAGTTCATCGGGTTACCTTTAACATTTTTTAATTAAACAACTCGCTTTGTGGTGCTACACACCGGTTGACACGTTCTGTTTGGCATAATTTTAGACAAACTTTAGCCAACCCGATTTCCTTGTTCGTCTCTCTTTGACAGCTATTCAATGTATTATGAAAATCTATTGAAAAACCAGCACAGTCTACTGTATGCCCGTGAACGTGAAATCGAAGCCCTGAAAGAGTCGCTCAAACAAAAAGATCTGGAGACCAGTGTGACCGTGCAGTTCCAAATGTCTGAACAAGCGCATAATCTTCTTCTGGGTGAGTTGCATAATATCATCTGTTTTGTGTTTGACCATAAAGGCTCGCTTTTCCGAGAGCGTGAAAATAATGTACATTCGCAAGGCTGAACACAAACCTGAACAGATCATTCACAAACCTGGGTTTGCACAATGTATTTATGATCACTTCAAATTTGGGACGGCGAAACAGTGGACACAAACCATCTCAGAGTGCATATTGATAGGTCAGTGGTCAAAGAGAGCATTTTGGGTTTAGTAGACAAATTTCAAATATCAATATAGAAAGCAGACAAATGTCGCGAGATATTTACATTTCACATAATACTCTTTCTCATACTTACTGTTCCAGATCCTTTGTCATGTTTCAGAAATTTAAGGTTTGTCATACATTTGACGTTCCTGATTGTCTTGTAGTATTTTGAAGTGAGGTAGCAGTGTTATCGAATGGGTGCCATAAGGTAGGACTGACAAACACCCACCAGTTTTGCTCGAATCCACTCGGCGTTTTCGGCTTTTGTCGTCTTTTGTTCGCGATATTTTGGTAGTTCTTTGAGGGGTGGTTAATCATTCAGGTGATCGCAGTAGTCGCAACTGAACTCCATCACGTATACCACGGTTTTGATCACGATCATCATCAACGATAAATTACCAAATTACCAAATTTGTCACAAAATATCATACAATACAAAGAACAAACCTCAAGTGCACAAGACTTGAGGTGACATGCAATAACGGGCTGTCAACGGATTGAAATAACATTAATAGTTTTGATCATGTGACGTTCATTAGTGTGTTGTCAGTGCTAACTCAACTAACTCACCTAATCACTATTCCCAAGCACATTTCACAACTGATCGTCAACGGAAACAAGTCATCGATGATTGATGAGTTCGCTTGACGGTCAACGAAATTGGCGAATAAATGTAGTATTTTTAAAACACCAGGACCAATTGATGTTTGAAGTGTATCGGAAAATCCATGCGCGATGTTTTGTTTCATCGTGTATGTAATAGTGTTAATAAAACGGCGATAGTGAATATAATTCACTACCGACATCGCTGCGTTATTAACACTATAACATTCACGATACATATCATAATTTGAATTCCTAGAATGAACCTTGTGGGGCGCTTGAGTCCAGGTAATCATAAAAGGTTACCACAAATTATTTGACTGTTCATCGTGTGCACAACGTATGCAAAATTAAGCGAGCGAATTATTCTTATATCATTCAAAATTTCAGGGTGGACAGTAGAAAATTAATTGTCAAGGTAAATAAGAGATATTGTGGTACGTTTTCTTCGTATATCCAATTATTTATCTGTGGAATGCTTCTCTGACCTCCTATTTCGACTATTAGGAACGAGACGAAATCCTAATTTTAAAGCCTTATTCATAACTCTATCTTATTGTGCTATACTCTAGAGGTAACGGCTCTGCGAGCCCGAATCGCAGAGTTGGAAGAAGCCAATGGCAAAACGGAAGCCAAGGTACGCGTTCGTGTGCGACGGGAATTCAATGTGGCTATGCGTAAACTGTTTGGATTGAGCTTCGAGCAAAAAGCGCGCATTGATGAATACCGCGATCATCTGCATGCGATAACTTTACAACGCATTGCCGAAGTACGAGAGGAAGCTTCCGCCGAAATGGCTCGAATCAAGGAACGAAGCGGTGCACGAGCATCAGCCGGTATGTTTAGTCAGAATGTGTCTACAGCCTCTGAATCAGAGCGAGGTAATCCAGACGCCAAAATTTCCGACGGGTCCGGTAACTGAGTACATTAAACCTAAACATTTTCAGTGTTGACTTCTTAATCGCTAAAGTCTGAATCGAATTCAATGTGAAAGAAACAGAGTTTGCATGTTGTCACATCATCTGCACGTTGTGCTCTATTTTGAGTAACCGTTAAGATTTTAACTTACTGTTAAAAGATGATATGAACTAAGCAAATGTTAAAGAAAAACTAAATTTTACTAACGAGATCCATGAATACAACGGATTTGTTCCCAGGATTATTGCGGAAATTAGCTTGGCTTAGCCACGACGAACGAAAACACCAACAAACAAACGGCGTTGGTGACAGTTTTCGTCCCTTTTGGAAGAACTTTTTCAAGGGGCCTAATCGGTAATTTTCACGTTACAAGCCATTATAGATGAAATCCGTTTGATCCGTGGACCTCGTGCGATTACACCAATGAACATGAAAATTTTGGAATCTTTCAGCCGACCGATTCTTTCTACTAAGGAAAACTCTTGTCATTATCTCCGTTCAACAATCTCTCTGTTCTTTTAAACAGCTGATGTGATTTTCAAGTTTCTTGCTGTCCTATGGAAACAAATTTTGTTCACACTGGCAGAGTATGCTCCTAGCGGCTGAAACCTATTTGTGGACAGGAATAAGTAGCTTTCAAGACGAAAAAAAGCTTACGTTGAAAATCCAGACAGAATTCAAAAGACTGAATGCTTTATTTGCAAAGGAAGCTCTGTGAGACGGATATGAAAGACGGTTATGGCAAGGGATCAGATTGTTGTGCGGATAGAGGAAGCGGACAACAAATAACATTAATGATGTGGGCAGCCTTATTACTGCATTCAATTATC